CTCTTAGGTTTTTTTTTTTTTTCTCAAGGCTGGCACTATACCATTCGAGCAACAGATCCACTTTGAACTTTTTGTTGGTTAATTGGAGATAAGACTCCCACAGACTTTTTCCCAGGCTGGCTTCTAAGTTTGATCCTCAGATCTCAGCTTTTTGAGTAGCTGGGACTACAAATGTGAGCCACTGGTACCTGGTAACCTTTTTGAGGAGGTATTTTTAAAGATTGAAGTCACCCATTGTTTCAGAAAAGAGAAGTTGGCAGAAAGAAGAGGTTGGGAGAAATTGGAGAAATTCCAATATACAGAGAATAGAAGGGAGGGAAGAATGCATTGAAACTTGACGTTGATTGGTGAGAAGATGGAATCAGAAATGTCAGGTATGCCAGTTGAGTTTTTGTAGGTGCTGCATTTGGAGGTTGTAGCACATCTGGAAGTGCATATCTGGAGGATAGAGAAGGAACCCCAGCTGGTGGGATATGGGCTCTCAACTTAGAGTTAGTGACGGAGCCAGGTGAGGAGAGACCATTGCAGAACCCAGGAAACTATGAGGAGTCTTTAAGAATGTCAGCATAAGCTGGGGGTGCCTGTGGATTACTCCTGTTTAACCTAGCAAATCAGGAGGCTGAAAACTGGGAATTGTGGTTCTGAAAAGACTGTGAGACATTTATCTTCAATTAGTTAGTTAAGAAGCCAGAAGTGGAGGTGTGGCTCAAGTGGTAGGACACCAGCCTTGAGTGGAGAAAGCTAAGCTCTGAGTTGAAACCCCAGGACTGATACACAAAAGAATGTCAACATAACTTGTCCCATAAATACCTGATTGTGTGCACTTTTACTGAAAGTGGGCTTTGTGTGAGGCAAAAGAAATGGGACCAGTTTACTGAGAAGCCTACAGTGTTCCATCTAAATTCTACAAAATAGATTGTCATAGATCAATAGTAGGTTACCAAAATTCTTTTATATAGAGTTGCATTTTATCTATAGATCCTCATTTCGCAGTTGTAGACAGCACCATCCCATAGTTTTGCTTTGCTGTCTCCCCTCTTGTCTGATTCTAAGGAATTCTCCATTAGGAGTCACAGGATTTTCTTCTTGTTGATTAAATGTGTGGTCAATCCATCCTTGGTATAAAAATCCCTCCTCTTTTCTTGACCCTTCTCTCACCTCATCTTCCCCGCATTGCCTTGTCTGTGGCTGGATTATCTTTCTGTCCCTGCCTTAGAGCCTTTCTGTAGGATAGTTAATCAATATTCATGCATGGAGTGAGTGAATGATTCTGCCTAGATTTGTGGTGAGAAGTGTCAGCTGAGGAAAAGCAGGCAAAGAGCAGCAACGTGTCTAGTGCATGAGTATGAATTCTATGTGTGTAATTGTGTGCAGCAGGTGACACCATTGACTCTTCTCACCCTTGTGTCTTCCCAGCCTATCAATCCTGAGCTTTCTCCGTATTCTTCCCCTCATCTCCCTTCCCAGCTGGTCCCATCCTCCAGCTCACTCACTTTGGCCTCTACATCCTCTTGGAGAGACAGAATATGTAGGTTACCATGGAATGACGTTTTCCAGTTCCTTGGGCTTTTTCATACACATCCTCTCCCCAAAAGTCTACTTCTATTGCACCTAAAGAATCATTTCTGATCTTTAGGACACTGAGCAACTTCCTACTAGAAAATCCCCAGAGAATGGCAATCTTCTGGGAAGTTGCTTTTGAGCAATCAAGAGACTATGGGGTTCATAGAGCACATTCCTTGTCACACCATGGTCCTGTGGATTCTCTGTCAGCCCTTCATAAACCAGAGCCCGCCGTGATTGAACACTAGCTCTGGGTCTTGGTAGTATGCTAAGCACTTGATGTACATTACTTTGCCTTTCCAGTTTGGTTTTATTAGCATTCCTGTTTTATACTTTCCAACTCGCCTGAGGTCACACAGTTCCTGATTTGCAAGTGAGGATTTAAGCCCAGGTGGTCTAATTTCAGATTCCAGCCCTCTCCTTTGCTTTTATATTCAGTAGTGCCTCAGTAGCAGTTGGAGGGTCATAGAGTTAACTTTTATTCTTTAATGTTTGATTTGAGATTTTTAAGATAATATATGCAGTTATAGTTTAAGAAACTGGGACAGTTTCTCCTCGCCTTCACCCCACTACTTCCTTTCATTTCCCTTAAGGCAACTACTGTTAGCAGTAGTTGTATTTTCAGTTGCATTTATCCATGAGATTTTTAAAAATCTCATAGTGTGTTTGTGATTCTCCTTTCAGCTTTTTGTCTCCTGAAAACTCAACTTCTTTGTTACTTGATAACAAGTTAGACAAGAAGTGTACATACTACCTTATGTATGTAACTGTGACCTCTCTATGCATCAACTTGATGATAAAATGTCCCTCCCCCACAATATAACCCCTGCTTTCACTGTATTTAATGTTGGTATAATTTGTAGGGGGAAGGGAAAAAAAAAACAAATCGTTTAAATAGGGACACAGGTGGACCCATTGCAACAACAAGATGTACAAGTCGTTATGTTGAAAAACGAACTTTACAACTTTGGCGGTAGGGGGGAGGGCGGTAGGGGGGAGGGCGGTAGGGGGGGAGATGGGAAGGGATAGGAAGGGGAAACAAAGGAGGAGGCAGCAATGCTTGATAAGAAATGTACTCATTATCTTGCCCATGTAATTGTAACTCCTCTGTACAGTATTTTCACAATTAAAAAAAAGAAGAAAAAGAAAGAAAAAATACAAATGGTCCAAACACATCTCTAATGCATATGCCAATATATGTATATATGTATATAATTGTGTGCATATTCTATCCATTCTATCCATCTTTCATCCACCCACCCATCTACATGGCCATCCATCCATCCATCTATCTATCCATCCACCCATCCACCCATCCATTCATCTATCCCCAGAGAATGGTGTCCTACCTCTGGTCCAAGGCAGATTGTTGACGTTACTTCAGCTCTTACCTGTTTGGAATCTGTAGACATAAGTTTCTGCCTGTAGGAAACTCCAAACTGATACATTCTTCAAGTTCCCAGTTTTGAAACTGTCTTTCACAATTCATCTATGACTTTAGTACCTTGATACCTGGGGGGGAGGGGGTAGAACAACAGCCCTTTCTGGCTAAGCAAATGGGTCTCTGTGCTCCTTTCAATGCATAGCTTTGTAGACTCAAGAATCCAATGTGTTTTGAACAGTGCGACCAGAGTACTATGTGTATAGCTGTGCATTTCCCCCTTCCCTTCCTGAAGAAGAGCTTTGTGATTTTTAATCAGCAACACAAAAACTGTTTCTATAGAAATGGTCATACTTTTCAGTGTGCACGGGGAACATTTTTCCTAAAAAGCGAGGTCACCAGAAGCACAGAGCGGAGAAATCCCAGCTGGCACTAATATTTGATTTCATTTTTAGCACTCTCGTATTCAGCAGATGGATGGCAAGGCTGACCTCTCTGACACTTCTGCATCGCTGCCTGCTACTCCAATTGCCTTGCTGAATGTTTTTTCATAAGGCTTCTCTTGGCATCTCAAAGATTGATGCCTGGTCGCCTGCCTGTGTTACGCTTCATTACGCCGAGGCTCTGTGTCTGAGACTTGCTGTATTTTATAAAAGGGGGAAATCCTAGCTCATCAGTATCTCAGAACTTTTCCTACAGTCTCAAATTGTGTGGAACGTTTTGGAGTGTGTTCTTGTAGCCTTCTAGGTGTTACCTCTGATTCATATAGCCATGTTTACCCTGTTCTGAATTTTCTGATCTCTTCTGTGTCATGGCTAATTTAAAATAATTCTAGATCTAGTTGTTCTGAACACTCTTACCAAAGACTGAGTGTGATTTTTGCTGGCTTTCTCATCTTACTGTAGCTCAAGTGGCTACTAAGAACACAGAGCTGGATTGGAGTTCTTCATTTATCATTTCCTTCGAGTTTTACTTCAGAGTAAATACAGTTTCCTTGTTTGTTAATGAGTACTGTTATTAATGATGGTTGCTTAGGACTGAGGTAAAAATTAAATGAAGGAATGAACATCAGGTGGGTATGTCAGGGTCTGGCACAGGCTAACTGCACTATGAAGTTAGTTTGAGGTATGCACACTAATTTTTTATTGTATATGTGTGCACAACACAAGAGCTACATGATGCACATTATTTTGTACAGTTTGCATTTGGATTGTGAGGAAAGTGAATTGTTTGTTAAGGAAGAAGTTTGTGTGTGTGTGTCTCTGTGTTTGTGTGTGTGTGTGTGTATCTGTGTCTGTGTCTGTGTACTGATACTGGGTTGACCTTAGAGCCTGGGCACTGTCCCTTAGCTGTTTTGCTCAAGATTGGCACTCTACCACTTGATCCACAGCTCCACTTCTGGGTTTTTGGTGGTTAATCAGAGACAATTGTCTCATAGATTTTCCTGCATGGTTGTTTTCAAACTGGGATCCTTAGCTCTCAGCCTCTTGAATAGCTAGGATTATAAACATGAGCCATCTGTGCCTGGATAGGAAAAAAAAAAACTTAGTGAAGAGATCAATGCATTGTTTTTTAAAATTCCTTTTTATAGACCATTCTGTAAACCACACAGCTCTTTAGAGATGAACTCTGGAAAGGCACTGCCTCCTACTAGTTTATATTTCAGTGGTAAGACATACTTCAGTGGTAAGACTATAGAAAAGAAGCATACAGCATGAATATCCACAAGTTCCACTGTTTCCCTGTAGGCTGACCTGGGTGGTTCTAGCATCCTTGCAGTGCACAGTTCTGATTAGATTGCTCGTGACCTTCTGTTTTGCAGCTCCTTGCACAGCCAGAGTTTGTTGCATGCTTTAGTGCCTAACATATTTTTGGCTTATCATCCATTGGGTATTTGATAGTTTTTTTGGTTGCTTTTTTTTTTGCCTGAATCAGATCTCTACTCGATGCAGTTTTCATGAATTTAGCCTTTAGAAATCTCAGTTTTAGCTCTGTGGTGAAACTTTCTTGAACAAGTAGCTTTTCCTCGAACAAATATCTTTTTCTCTTTTTGCAGATCTAACATAAGGCCAGACTTCGCAGACTCCAATTGCCATGACTTCAAGATGCACACGTTCACTCGGGTCACGTCCTGCAAGGTCTGCCAGATGCTCCTGAGGTCAGCTTGCTCAGACCTGTTTCTCAGCTTAACCACACTACTATGATTGCTAAGTGTCTCAGGAGTTTCTAGCAACTGAGGCAGAATTTTCTGATGAGAAGATAGGCAGTTGGGATCCAACAGATCATTATTAATGATCCCTGGACTTGGTCAATCAAGTCCTCTTCTTCTGTGGAGAGTACTTTGCAAAACACCTATATGACTCTCCCTTCTTGTGTTAATGATTTCATTCAGCCAGAATTTAGCACCTTTTAATACATCACTCTCTAATTTTACCTTTCAGAGGAACATTTTACCAAGGCTATTTATGTTTCAAGTGTGGAGCAAGAGCCCACAAAGAATGTTTGGGAAGAGTAGACAGTTGTGGCAGGGCGAATTCTGGTGGTAAGTCAAATTTATTGTTGGGATTCTGGTTTTAATGAGGATATAAAATTTGCTGCACATAATTAAAGCCTAATTTACTCTTTGGATATGTTTTTATTGTAACATATTTTCTTTTGAAATAAGCACAATTGGAAATCTGTACAAAATACTTGTGGACTTTTTCTACATGACTTGCTTTTTAAAAGTGTTTATAGTCTCATGACTATAATGCCAGCTACTCAGGAAGCTGAGATTTGAGGATTGTGGTTGGAAGACAGCCCAGGCAAGAAAGTCCAGTGAAAAGCCAGAAGTGGAGCTAGGACTCAAGTGGTAGAGCACTAGCTAAGGGATAGGCAGAACCCAGGCTCTGAGTTCAAGCCCCAATGCTGTGTGAGCCCGCACTCTCTCTCTCTCTCTCTCTCTCTCTCTCTCTCTCTCTCTCTCTCTCTCTCACACACACACACACACACACACAACTTAAATAAAATGAAATATTTAAAATTTGTCAGGCTTTTATGTGGATTTAGGAAGCATACATCTTCAAGAGGGACCTGGATGGTTTATGTTGCTTATTAACCTCAATTCTTTTTTTTTTGTCAGTCATGGGACTTGAACTCTGGGCCTGGGTGCTGTCCCTGAGCTTGTCAGCTTAAGGCAAGTAGCACTCTACCACTTGAGCCCCACAGCACCACTTCTAGTTTTCTGGTGATTAATTGGAGATAAGAATCTCAAAGACTTTCCTGCCCGACCTGCCTTTGAACCTTGATCCTCAGATCTCAGCCTCCTGAGGAGCTAGGACTACATGCATGACCCACCTGCACCTGGCTTAACCTCAATTCTTAATTGTACCACCAACTGTGCACGAATTTAGCAAGCACAGAGTACTGAAAAACAAAACAGAAAGAGAATTTTCTTCCGTCTTTAGTTTTTCATTTCTTCTTTCTTAAAGAAGAAATGTAGCTCAAGTAAATATTACGTAGACTAATTCATGAATTAATGAATTGAATACATTGCCATTTTCCAGCATTTAACGAAGAGCCTGGCTCCTTTGGATTTTATGTAAATATTTTCTCCTTGGATTTGAAAAATAGTACCCTGTGGTGGTTTCATGAGCTAGTTGGCAATTACGCATTCAATAGCCTTTGGCTCCTCTCTGCTCCTCCTGGGCTGTCTCCCTTCCCTTTCTTTTCTGGCCTCTTTCTTCTTTCTCTTTCTTCTTCTTTCTCTTTGTCCTTTTCCCCCTGAGTTTCTCTGTGTTTTATCAATAAGACCTTTCAAAAATCAGTAGAACTTTTTTGAGCGCAAGAAAGGATCTTTAACAGCTTGAGTTCAAAAGGTAGCCATGTCAACCTTTGATTTTCCCAAAGGAAAAGGTGGACATTGAATTATTTTGGATAATGTGAAGAAGAGTGAAACGGAGAAGAGCTCATTTCAGAGCTGAGTTCAGAAAAGGGGCAGTTGTAGAGAAGGTGACTCCTGTTGAAGGGACTCAGATCCCAACCCAGTCCGCTCTCTCCCTCAGCTCCTTCAGTAGGCATTTCAGAGGGCCTCGTGCCAGTCTCTGGGCTAGGCACAGGTGCTGTGAGGGCAAAGATCTTGACACCGTGTGGGTACCTGCCCTGTTCCTGCCTTACCCAGGGCCACTGAGCATCTTTGCCAATAAACTCCTTGTCTTCAGGGAGGCCCATTCTGAGGACAGGGCACTGAGGGCTGGTGCAGTTTTCTCAAGGTTGGGAGGCAAAAGAGAGCAGCTTCTCTCCTAATCTGTCTGGGAAGGTGGGAAACAGTTTACAAAGTTGTCAACCTAGAACTGGACGCTATGGCTCACATTACTCAGGAGGCTGAGATCTAAGGATCTTGGTTTGAAGTCAGTCTGGGCAGAAAAGTCCATGAGATGCTTATCTCCACTTAAGCAGCAAAAAGCAACTTACCCATTGTTTTCTTTCCTCTTAAGTGTGTATGGAATTCACGTGTATGGTATTGCTGTAGATAGAAAACCTATTGTCGCTAATTTGGACAACTTGAAAATTTTCCTGATTCTCTGCTCTCAATCTTAGTCCTTCTCTACAATTGCTGAAATGATCTTTAAGGGTCTTTGAAAATCAAGGCTAAATTACATTACTCTTTTGCCTACTAAACTTTCTGTTCTTTATAATTAATTTCCCAACATTTTCATATGCAGTGCAATGTTCTGGGTCATTTAGTCAGATTTTACCATTCCTCTCTCACCCAGCTCTCAGTGCTGTTTTCTTTACTCATACATACACACACACACACACACACACACACACACACACACGTATATATATATATATATATATATATATATATATATATACAGACACATATATATATGTAAATGTGTATCTACTCATGTATCTACTATGCTTATATATACATATATACATATACACATATACATATATAGTATAAGTTTTCTGTTTTAGTATCTTTCCTTCTCATATGTATTTGATAAATATATTGCTTTCTGAAAATATTAACTCAGTTCTGAAAACATTTTCTGATAAGTTCAGCATCTGTAATTTTCCCTGGAACTGATCATCTCTGTTATATTTATCTAATAGCTGATCTCTTCAATTAGGCTCAATGATAAGAACCTCAGGGAACATGTGGTATGTAACTTAGTGAGTGCATAGACCATTGAAATGGCAGATAAACAGGTAAAATGTAGGGCATGAACACCTAAAGATCATTATACGTTTAGGAGGGTTGGGACCTTATATAGATCTTTATTCCATCTTTGTAGAAACTAAAGCTTGAGTAGCCATTGGACAAATGAAAGAGAACTTCATACTATTTATGCATGGAAAGGCCCATGCCCATGATATCCGCCATCAGGCCTTTGGCAGAGAACATTTGGGTTTGGTTAATAAGTAGCAAAAAAGCGAGTCCCAAATACCTCACTTTAGTGAAATCTACTCCTGGTCAATTCCATTGGGAACATTCTTACTGGAGTCTCACTACCTCTCTCTGAATCTATTACCTTTCTCTTGTATTTCCAAACTTTGCCTTGCTTTCTGCCTTTTCCTGCTCTCTTCCAATCATTAACCACACCTTGATCACACTCTAGTGGTCTGAATTAAGTTGTCTCTAATTAGTTTAGCTTTATATTTCATTTAGTTTCCAAGGTCAGACTAATACCCAGCTCCTGTCCCAAGTTCCAGGAAAATTCTCATATGTGCAGCTTACTGGGGGTTTCAGTGGTCTCACAAAGCAGTTTTCTTCCAAGCAAAAATCTGTGGGTTCAGACCTGGCTTCCATTCATGATCCTCAGATCTCAGCCTCCTGAGTAGCTAGGACTGCAGGCGAGAGCCACTAATGTCAGGCATAAAACATCTTTTAGACATTTCTTTTTCTAAAGTTAGCTTAGTCATTGTCTTTCCTGAATTCAGAAAACTTTCATATTTCATGTTCTATGTTCCTTGAATCTAATCTTCATTCAGCCTGAAAATAATAAATACTTGCCAAAATTGCAGTGAGTTTCTGAATAGAAGTACTCTATTCATACTAATATATCACTATGATAGATTATTAAATTAAGTACATTTGAAGAATGAAAACAACATAAATTTATTTTTTTGTAAGAAGACAAAGTATTCAACCTAGAAATGAATCTGAAGAGTTGGGTGATTAGTTTGCATCTTCACATTTGACCATTTGCCTGGATACAAATAAAGGGCCAGCAGTTCTAGTCTCTTTCTTTCACTGAACTTGATTTGACTCCTTTGCAGTCACCATAGCAACCCTGATAATCAACACATACACGGGCTGTGAAGTGTGCGCTGAAAACTTTCCAGCGTTAATAATGAGTAGGTATGAACTCCATTATATGAGTCTCTCTCAACAAGCTACTACAAAGGGTAATTCTAGGGTAGCATGTGTTTCTCATAGGACACACCAAGAAAGTTTGATCCTAGACAGTAACCTTCACTCATTTATATCCCCCAACCCCCACCCCACGATAATACATGACTAAAACCCCTTGGTCTACTTCCTGCTCTGATGGTGATCAATATAGTTTGTTCTACATCTTTCAAGTTTAAACAAAGGAAGTAACATTGGAAGGCAAATATTGCTGGGGCAGACAACTTTTCCTTTAGCGGGAATGCAAGCCTCAGCTGCTCTAATATTTAACAGAAGCGCTTTTCCTATTCTCTTATCTGTTTAATCACTTTTTTTTTTTTTTAAATCTAGGCCAGCTTGCTGGCTCTGTGGCTGGAATTTTCTCTAATTAGAAGGAGGTTGTCTTGGTATCTGAACTGTTTAAACCTGTAAGCATCTTACCTAGAACCTGCACCCCAAAGTGGCATTTTTCATAAATAACATTGCATGTTTTAGGATGAGAGGGAAATCTTTTAGATCTCAGTTTTATTTGGGCCTTCTACCACGTTGCTTTGATATGAAGCGAATGGAGCTTGAACATTGATTTCATAACAAAAAATAATAACTTTAGTTTGGTTGGATAGTACTTAAAACCTTTTCTAAAAATTAGGGTTGTTTTATTTTTTCCTCATCAAGACAATTTTATATTCAAGAGTAGTTATTATTCCTTCCATTTAACTTGTTGGGTAAGTTTAATGATACGTTAATAATTATTAAAGTGAATTGGGAACTATTTTGTATGGCTGGATTCTTTTATAGCTCTAAAAAAGAGTTTGGAAATCAAAGCCTCTTTCCAAATATTATTTATGGTTTGCTGCTGCTTCCTCCTCCTCCTCCTTCCACTTTTTCTTCTTCTTCTTCCTCTCTCCTTCTAAAAAACATTGTTTCCCTTTTCAGACATAGCATTTGTGCAACTTTCTCTACAATTTGATCAATCCAGCTGCCCTATAATTCTGTGTATCACAGAAACACATGAGGGCAAAGCATGCACATTCAGTAATCATACTGGTAATTGCTCTCGTTGGTCCCTTTGGTGACAAGGGATCTTACTGGACACTGATTTGTCTAGTCTTAAGAAATAGCACCCCAGATAAGAGACAAAGCAACTTGTGAAAGAATGTCGGCCACTTACGTTGAAAAAAACAAATGTAACTGGGCTGCATTTTGTATTTAACCAAGTGAATTATAGAATGGGGGTGTAAGACCTTTGTGAAAAGGATTTATCTTACACAAATATGCACATTGAGCTCTGTTGGCATGGAAGCGGGAGTTCTGCAAGTGCTTGGGTCTTACCACTTCTCTGAATTACATTCAACCCGTTGGGACGAGATGAAAGAATGCAAGGTATAAACCCCTCCAGGGGTTGTGAGTCACCATCTAGAAAGGTTCTTGAAAGGGTAAGAACATTTTATAGTTTGATCAATAGGAGTCTGAGAAGTAAGCTGCAGGGTAAAGACAAGTTGAGGATTAAAAAGTTTTAGAAACTTGAAGGATTGAATTACTATCCAAAGAAAGTTCCCAGGAGAGAGACATTATTATTATTTTTTTTTAATAGCAGATCTCAACTAGCAAACTTTCTTCTAGGTCAGAATTCAGCCAAAGAACATTGGATGGTAGTAATCTGATCCAGTGGATGATGATATCCCAGATCCAGTACTGACCTGTACAAACACACAGTTTTTCAGAGATCTAACTGCCCTGCATAATGGTTTTGGCATAAACTGAGAAGAAATAAAAGGATGAGGTTGTGCCCTTCTAAATTAGACCAGCTGTTCTGCAGAATACTCCAAAGGAAAAGGCCTTGGTTCCATTCTTCCAGCCCAAAACAATCTTTTATTTGAAATACCTATGATAGAATGTTTGTTAGGTTTTTCTAAGTCAACAAGTTTTTGCACAATGAGAATTTAGATTATTTCTGTAAAGGAGAGGTCCATGGTCACAAATTCAAAACCAATTTCTACACTCCGAACAGATTCTTCTACAAACCCTACCTAAGATGTGACTGCTTACAGACTTAGACTTTGTCAGACTGTCTATGTCATTGACACAACTAGAGTAGGTCAGAGGGCTGGCTGCTCCATGCCATGTCCATAAGAAGCATTGGGCCTCTGTTCTGGGCAATAGGGTAAATAGATGCAGTGGCCATCAAGATGGGGATGATGGCAAAGAAAAGAGAATATTGTGAAACAGCTTCATGCCTTTGCAGTGGGAATCTCACCCAGCACTAAGCCTCATCTCACTCTTCAAACCCAGAGGGGGATTTGTGTCATTCAGTTCTTCGTGTCTCCAGTGAGTGTTCTGTGGAAAACTGATTGTCTTGATGATATACCAAAGAAAGCAATCAAGAGACAGAAGGGGAGAAAATGAAGGGGTCAGTCTACTTTGTTCTTCCTCTTGCATCAGTCCCATTCAGGGGACTGGGCCTCATGCCCTCCTGGGTTCTGTGGACAGTTTCTCATCTGCACAAAGAACTGACTAATTCACAGCCAAGCTGTCTTCCATAAGACATGAAGAGCCTGTAAGGCAGGTTCTTCCATTTTGGATCTGGTCTTTGGGTGAAGATGTATATATAAATTAGACATCATTTTATTTTACCAAGGAGCACCCAGAGGATCTTTGTGAAGCTTCGTATGACAGTTATGGCCACATGATCTATTTATAGATGTTGTGCCAGAAATAATACATTTAAAGCATTATACAAAAGACCTTCGCTGTGGCACTAAAATGTTTGCATGAAAAGAAACAGGAAAAGAACTAGATATTTTAATTGAAATTAAGTACATATAGCTGAGTCTATACTCATTAATAAGCATGTAAACTGTAAGATTAAGGAGTCACTACTTAAAGGTCACCCAACATCTTTAGTCTCCTTGGATCAAAAACGTATATTCTGCCTGCTTAAGAGGCTGAGATCTGAGGATCCTGGTTCAAAGCCAGCCCAGGCAAGGAAGTGGATGAAACTTTTATTTCCAATTTAAAAAAAAAGCCAGAAATGAAACTGGCTTAAGTAGTAGAGCATACTAGCCTTGAGTGAAAAAGGTAAGGGATAATCCTCAGGCCTTGGGTTCACGCACCAGAATCAGCACAAGGAAAAAAACAAAACAAAACAAACAAAGAACTCATGTTCACATAACTTGATACTTGAGTATAGGCCAGACAGAAGGTACTTTCATAGACCCTCTTCCTAACCAGCTCTCCTAGAAGTGCGAGCTTCAGAAGAGGAAATAGAAGCACTCGGAGTATTGCTTTCTAAGTGCTGATTTTAGGCCTGGGGAAGCATACCTCCATGGAAGACAGTCATCTGAGAGAGCCAGAGTGGTAGGATTTGAACTTGACAAAGGGATACAGACTTCTTGCTCCCAAGTTTTCCATTGTCATTAATCCAGAGTAGTTTAAAAAAAAAAAGAAAGGAAAAGAAAAGGAAAGTAAAAAGCAAAAATCCAAACCAACATCTAGTTCTACTGCCCCAGGCAGTCTACCTGCATAAAGCAATCTGGCAGCTCTCAGGTGTTCTGGTAGGAGTTTTCCCTGAACTCTGGCCTCAGGGCTTCTTAGAGCATTTTAGAGAAACACCCTACAGAGCTCTAGCTTAGACCCACCCATGCTTTCCTGTCCTCTCCTTCAATTGCTTGTTCTCTTCTCAGATCCTTTCCCCAAGAATCATTCTGTTACAGAGATGCCCATTCAAATCCGGGCTTACAGCGGTAAAGGGTTTTTCACTCAGTCTGGGGGTGATTATAACATAGCTAGGTGCTCCTAGGTATGGTACAAGGTACACACACACACGCACACACACACACACACACACACACACACACACACACGCACACACACACACATGCGCACACAGTCATGCACTCAAGCACACACACAAACCTGCCCACCGGTTTTCCATTCATAGTGCACATTTTAACTCCGAGGGATCCTTTGCATTTGAACCACAGTAGCTCACTTTAAGAGCCCAGAGTCACTTATAACTGTCACTCAATTTCAGGAAATGAAATGGAGTTGAGAAGTTGCCCTGTTTATAAAAAAGTAAACTTAGAATGCCAGGAAAATGAGTGTTGGATCAAATCCTGACTCAAGTTTTTATTTCTATATCAAACTCTAGTTTGGGGGCTTGGTTGGATCTCACTTGCTAGGCAAGTGCAATGTCTTGGGTTTGAGCCCCCAGGACCAAAAAAGAAAACAAACAAAAAAATCCTCTAGTTTTGTTTTCAAAAAGAAAAATGAAGGACAGTTGGTCACTGGAAAGCTACTTTCTGGAAAACTTCTTCATATGGAATCCTACACAGATTGTAGTTGGCAAAAATAGTGCAATACCTTTGCTACTTAGTGTGTTTCAGTTCTTAACATGTGTGGAAAGAAAAGTATCTTGCATATAAATCTGGTTCAAACTCTGGTTTTAAGGAGTTTTACATGGTTGGATTGGCATTGCTTAATGTACAATTGAAAAAGTTAAGGTTAACCTAGAAGTCATTTAGAACTATGAGTCATGCTTCTGACAAGCCAATAAGGTAAGAGAACCCGAGTTGCAAAACAATTACTAGCCCAGCCTGAGGGACCCTGGAAATATATTACAGGTAGCAGTTAAGAAAACAAATCCAAAGTGTCTTGCCACGCTGCAGAGGACAGGCTGAGTTTGCTAACTAACCGACCCAAATAACTTTGCACTGACAATGCCAATTTTCACATTTGTTTCAGAACCAGGGCCGCTCAAACCATCAGAGGTAAGATTGACGTTTAAATTTTGTTTTATATAAGCTTTGTATTCCAAGTTGTTTACTAACCTAAGCAGGCTTGCACCTTTCCAATGTTTGATGTGCTATTTAAGATGATCCAGAGAGATGGAATAGAGAGAGTAATCCTCTATGAAATGCTTGAGTGAAGTCAGAGGAATTGTTGGTTTTAGTTTGGAAGTTTTAGGTTGAGGGCACATGTCACTATTTTGACTCTGTGTGAAAGAGAACTTTCTGTGGGAAGGAATGATGGTCATCAGTGCAGGAAACTGGTAGACTTCTCTTCTGTCCTGAAATGTTTTATCCAAACCCAGCATTCGCCTATACTGGTAGTTCTCATATTGTTGCTGCTAGGATATTGTTTCACATTTCTAGCAGCTTTCTATTTGAGCAATAACACGGTTTGCACCATGTCCTATTGGTCACATCAAGATCCGGTAACGTGTCTGTTTGCTTGAACGCAGTTTAACTCGTCATGACTTAGAAATATGCAATCCCTGTTACCTCTTGGAATAAACAACTTGAAAAAGTAGAAAAGAATGAAAACTTTGACTGACATATTCTGAACACCATTATATTGGCCATCAGCCAAGAGTGACAATTTTTTTTAACCTGATAATGCAAAATTACCATAGAAAAGACTGTTTGGAAAAATAGTATAGGAAAATGAAATACAAAAATGTGTGTTTAGTAATATGGAGCAAAAATACAGTAGTCTGAGAGTTTCTGATTAACAGGATGACAAAAAATGTCATTTAATATGTACCAATTATTCTTATTTAAAAATTATACCAAGCCCCCGAACTAAAAAATAAAAAGCAAAACTCTATGAAAGTGATATATTATTATGTTCTTTGTGTATGTATAATCAATTTGTATTTACATAGTTGGTAAAAATAATGAAAAGTACAAGATGTCATATGGGACACTTGTTCCTATTTGGGGGGCTGCAGAAGAACATAATTTACATAAGAAAGGGCTTAAGAATCTGATACAATTCTTTTTTTTCCCTCTTCTTTTTTATTATCTTTAAGTAGTTGTTCAAAGGGATATCAATTCAACCTATCAATTTATGAGTATAATGCATGGGAAAGAGCGATTTAATATATAAGTTGAGTTTACTTTATAATCCAGAGCTAGATGAAGAAATATGTAACAAGGCAAAAGTATTAAAAATAACAGGCCATAAAGGTCTTTTAGGCAAACAAATTAACCACAATTTCTTGTAGTGTTTCCAAATGGAACTTAAAAAAAAAAATGTCTGTGCTATCAGGATTGTTTTGATAACATGGTTTTGTCAAAGCAGACCTTTCTGCTTTCCTTTCTCACCCAGTCTGAATTATTGAACTCTGAACTTTGTCTTGGTATTACTTAACATTTATTCTATTAGATACATGTATTATTTTTTTTCCTGAGAAAATGATGAGGCAGTATGAAATAGTTGCATTTACAGAAATGAAGTGTGCTAATAAGAAGTGGTTAATTTTTCACATTATTAATTCTCCAGGACACTTTATACTCTTAAAACTTTCACATAAGCCTATTAATGAATTAATTTTCACATTGATGTTTTTAAATGTAGCATCATTTTTAGAGATGGGTTTTTTTTTTTTGCTTAAACATAACAAGTATAATTTTATTTAATGTGTGACTACACTAATAATGTCTACTTTGAGTGAAAAAATCTCTTTTGTCAAGCTACTTGAAATCTTGGTTGATTTAAGGAAAAGGTATAGCAAAGAATATTAAGAATGCAGTTTTTTTTCCCTTTTTTGGAAGACCTTCTTTCTTACTTTGTACTGGTTTAGAATTCTCTTTTGTCTCATTTTCAATACCTATGATTGTGAATTTTTTTTTTAATTATATGTCTTCTTCAGAGTAGGTCAGTTTTCAATAGCCCCAGGACTCAGGTCTCTGTAACCATTCCTGGACATTTTCATCGGACATCCACTATAGCTCTCTATATAACTCTCTCTGACTATAAGATGAGAGTTTATCATTACATACCTGCTCAGCTACTTGTATTCTAGTCTCTGGTGCCATTTAAAACAGAAGGAGCAAAGCCAGCTTCCATGTAACAAATGGAGCTTTGCTTGTCTTATTGGTAAAATCAGCAGAGAGAATTAGTTTATTTCCCCAAAGAGCTAAGAAAAGACAGAGAGATTATTGGACACTAAGAGTATTTTTGTTAAAGACAAAGACAAGGTAATAGATAGTGAAAAAAGAAATATTGGTAGTGCTTATAGAGTTAGGTGTGCCCTTCCCCTACCCCTTAGTAGATCAGAAGAGACTGAGAAGGGCCAAGGATAGGTTTCCTAGTTTTCCTGGAGTTTAACTGAGAGCTTCCAGAGAAATGCATAGGTCCTTCTTGCCTTCCCTCTTCTTTCCAAAGTTTTGAGGCTATAAGTTAGGGGTGCCAGGATAACAGTTGAAACACATTCCGAACAACTCAAATAGCATAATTCCTTAGAAAAGCCAAGTCAAAGTTCAACAAAATAAACTCTAGGAAGCTGGTACTTGAAAGGGGGGTGGGGGGAGAAGTGGTGTCAAGGGGAAAAGGGTAGATGAATGAAGAGAGGAGAGGGAGAATGCAATCAAGAATTCAATGTATTGGTTACAGAATTAAGAAGGGTGCGGGAAGGGAGACATGGGTGAGAATGTTGAAAGGAGTGAGATTGATCATAATGCATTTTATTCATAAAATGCTTTGTGAATGGCTACTCCTTTGTATAACTATTTAAAAATAATTAAAAATATATTCCATGTTTTTTTTTTATAATACAGAATGCATTTTAGGGGCTTTTAAAGTACAGTAAATCTCAGTTTATCCATATGAGCTAAATGCCTAAAATTTCTCATTTGTAAAATTTTCTACTTTTTAAATTTTATTCATTGGGTTGGGAAGGTGACTCAGTGGTAGAGTGCTTGCCTAGCATGCATGAAGCCCTGGGTTTGATTCCTCAGTACCACCTAAACAGAAAAAGCCAGAAGTGGTGCTGTGGCTCAAGTGGTAGAGCACTAGCCTTGAGCAAAAGAAGCTCAGGGACAGTGCCCAGTCCCTGAGTTCAGGCCCCAGGACTGGCAAACAAAATGAAACAAGACCTCCCCAAAAACCACAAAACAGAAAACAAAACATTTACTACATAGTTTATTCTACTATCTGCCTTTTCTGTAGAAAAGTTTTTGTTTTGAGAGTGACTGATTTGCAACAGCTTTTCACCAGGAACACTGAAAACACAAACAGTAAGGCAAGACTGGAACATAGGTGTCTGACTATAATCCAGCTACTCAGGAGGCAGAAGCAGGATAATTCTTTATGTCCAGGAATTCCAGACCAGCCTGAGCAGCATAGTGAGACCCAATCTCCAAAACAACCAACCTCCCCAAACAACAGCAACAACAAACAGCATAGCAATAACCTAGAAGCAGCATTTATCTTTGATGTGAATTGAAACATTCAAATTTCCATGAAGTTAATAATAATGAAGTACTCATAAGCTATCATTTAAAAATCCTTGCCAGTTGACAAGAACTATTCCATGCATTTAACATAAATGAACTCACTGAATTCTTCCCAGCAGCCCTATGAAACAAGTGCTGTTATGATATCCATGTTTTATAGATGATAAAACCAGAAGAGATTTGATTTTGAACTCAGTCATCTTCACTAATCTATACTCTGAATACTTGCATAACCATTAAAAATCTTCAGGGTTGCTCTTGAACTCAGGTTCTCTTCTTACTTAAATTTTTTACTTTCAAACCAGTCAAGACGTGGGGAATTCTAGGACTCACACCAAAACGTTGAATTCCTTTCTTACCTCCCATGGCATTTGGTAGTAAAAAGTATAGCATCAGTGGAAAGAGGTTCTGGGATATGTGAGAAATAAATAGAGGCAAGAGAGCTGTCATTGTTTACTGTCCTGCTGAAAATAATGCCATTTGTGTTGTCCAATACAGAGATGTCCAAAAGGTTTTGTGAAATTCCAGGTAGAAAAGAGTTTTGTTTTGTTTTTCCTTTGAAGGCAGTTTGCTTTTTATGTAACTGTCAAGATTCCCCTCTCTCTAGTTCAGCCACCTAGAAGTCCTGAGCAACATTTTTCTCTCCTTCACAGGACTCTTTTATTATCGTTTCCAGTAAAGTGATCTGTCTTGCTCAACAGGACTTCAAATGCTGATTTTAATGATCCTATTAGTCTCTTACGAATCTCTTTTCAAAATAGTGGGGGTAAAAAACAAAAGTTACGTTTCTAAAGTTTTTCCAATTGGCTTTCACCTGAGAACCTAGGAAATCTGCTAGATATGGCTTCCAGGCCCTTTTGGAAGCCTGAAAAACCCTGTTTTTACAATACCCCAAAGAACTCATGGCTGATAAGCAAAGCCTAAGTGTGTGCTCAATGCAACCGTGCCTCACATCTCCACCCCAGACACAAACCCCAACATAAAAAAAGAAAATTGCTGTGGTGAAAATCTGAATCATGGGTGCGGCCCATACTTAGCTTCTCATTCAGTTGTAATGAGAAAAAAGTAAAAACAGTCAAGCCCTTCTTAATTAGAGATCGCCACATTTATTAGGTGGGGATGAATTCAATGCTTGTGAAATCAAATGTGTAATTGTATATTTTCAAAGCTTTTTAAAAAATCTTTTGGTTTTCATTTTATGTGTAAGTTATAGAATATATAGTTGTTTTTTTTTTCTGGATTTGTTTTCTATCATGAGGATCCACAGTTGGGCCCCTGTAATCCTAACCACTCAGTAGGCTGAAATCTGAGAATCATGGTTGGAAATCCAGCCCAGACAGGAAAGTCTGTGAGATTTTTATCTCCTATTAAGAAGCCAGAAGTGGCTAGAGCTTCGAAGCAAGTGGTAGAGTGCCACCCTTAAGCAAAACAGCTCAGGGACAGCGCCCAGGCCCCGACTTCAAGCCCCAGTACCAGCGCAAAAAATAAACAATAAAATAATGATTCACTTTGAAGGTTTATAGACTGCATGTCTTCACAAACTGCTTAAAAATAAAGTTTTTTTCAAGTATAGTTTATCCATGATGAAGCACCATTCTCACCTTGGTGTGTCCTATAATCAGAGCTTTGGTATTTTGTTTTGAGATGCCTTCAGCCACTGGTCTATCAGAGTCCACCCACCTAGCTGAGTTCAAGATCAGTTTAAGGCAGTCGCTTATAATCTTAGCTGGGACCATTTTCCACCCAACAATGGCTGCCTGGCTTTGTCTTATGACCTTCAGTCACTATGAGTTTTAAAAAAATTAAAAAACGGTGACAATGTCTGTAGAGTTGGTAGGAAAATATTTCTCTTTGATATCAGTGACTTATAAGAATATTCAAAGGGAAGACTTATTGGAGAAATACTGAAGTTAACTTACAAAAATAACAGTTAAGAGACTTTTTCCCCCCTCTCAAATGTATCCATGCTTTTCACTGGAAAAAAAAATGCCAGTTTGATTGACCTTTACTCAAAGGTCAATCGATCAGAGGTAATATGATTTCATAATGCTAAATCACCAACACATCTTTGTTTTGTTTTGTTTTGTTTCCCTTTCTGCACAGAAACGGACCAATGGACTCCGAAGGGCTCCCAGACCAGTGGATCCAGGTGTGTCTCTGATTGTACATCCTGTAATGACGTCAGTGAAGTGACTGAATGCATACACAAATTGCTGTAGAAAGGCCATTCTGATTGTTTGGCCTTTGCTCCTTGCAGTTTGGTATATACTGGGTGACCAGGAGGTGAAGGTCTAAAGTGTAAATCATTCACAAGTTGAATAATCCCCAGTTCCACACTCCATAGCTAGCAGTTGAGCTGGTTACTTGCTTACTGAGCAGCCTCAGGGTGGCTTGTGAATGCCAGTCTACCTAGCACCCTCTCCTTTTTCCCTCTTAATTATGTAAGAAATTCAGCTAGCAAAGTGGCACTTAAAAATTGATGTTTTGAGGGGAAAGCATACAATGGGAACCCTCCCTATTTAGGAGTTTCTTTATTCTGTATGTATGTATACATATATACACACATATACTTACGTATACATATACATATATATATGTGCACACACACATACATGTATGTGTATATTTACATATACACCTATACATATGTATATATCTATTTATCTGTATAGGATTTCATAACAGAAGCATGAGTCTAAGACTTTCTGAACAATTGTCATTTTGGAGACTAATGTTTCACCTGCAGCAAATAGTTATTTTCTGATCAACTTTGTGAGATTTGCCCTGTCTTTATGTTACCATTTACTTCTTTTTTTTTCTCCAGACATTAAGCAATGCCTTCCATGGTTTAATGAGTGAATATTTTGTTCTGTACCTGATCATCTAACACTTGTAGGTAAAGGTACTCACCGGTCAAGAAGACCAGACACACAAACTCCCTAGAGTAAATTGCAGGGCAGCCTAGCTGGAGAATAAAGTGGATTGTGTGCTTTGTTTTGTTTGCTGTTCTTAAGCAGTGTTCCCCTAGTTGTAAAGTTTAGTTTTCAAAGCATAATAGCTTTTAACTGAAACCACACCCATCATTAGCCCAGCTAGTTTATGAGCTGTCTGAGGTTTATATAGGAGCATTGTTGCCTCTGGCGAGAAATTGCTTCACATGTTTGAGATCAGTTTAAATCTTTTAACTACGGGAGTTTAAAAAAAAAAAAAAAGAAGCCATGAAAACATAGGGCTCTGGTTTACTATTTAATAACCTGACTTTCCCAAGGCAATCTACTTTGCAGGGGACGCTGATAACCTGTAGAAGTGGCTTCTACTTGGTAGGAGTGTATGACTGTGAACATAGGAATTTTTTGGTATGGGCATTGTATTTCTTTTTCAGAATGCCTTCTAACCTTTACAAATGTTATTTTTAAATGTCCTTTCTTTCTTCTATGGGTATTTTTATTTAGTCTATTTCTCTCCAGAGAAGTAGATTTCTCTGTGCATAATGTGTCAGTAGGGACACAGTTAATTCTTAGCAATTTACTTTATAGCCAGAATTTTCCAGGATCTTAGATTATGTGAGAGGAAACTACAGAGAATTCACAGAATCCAAATATGGCCAGATAGCTCAATAATAAAATGAATTTGTACTCTTTTAACCTAAAGGGGATGGCTTGCTATAGATACAGCTCTTCTGGTATTTTAATTCATAGATTTTAAGAACTTTGTGAAGACTAAATTTACAAATGTAAGAGTAGTACTCTTGTATGTTGTGTTGTAAAACTATGCAGAATAGTTTTCTACTAGGCACGATTAAGAGCGTCTGATTACATTTCTCATTTTTTCCCCCACATTAACAGAATAGTTGATGATCTTGTTGAAATACCTGTTGAGGTGACATCCCCACATCCCCCTTTTCTTCCAAGGGGGGGGGCAGCTTTGGATTTAGGCTTGAATTACGTGTTTGGTTGATTTTTATCTTTCTGCTTCTTTCCACTGGCCAGTTGCCAAGTTTCTTTTTTTTTTTTTTAATTGTGAAAATACCGTACAGAGGGGTTAGTTACATGGGCAAGGTAATGAGTACATTTCTTATCAAGCATTGTTGCCTCCTCCTTTGTTTCCCCTTCCCATCCCCCACCCCCCATCAAATTTGTAAAGTTCGTTTTTCGACCTAACGTCCTGTACATCTCATTGTTATAATGGGTCCACCTGTATCCCTATTTAAACAATTTGTTTTTTCCCTTCCCTTCCACAAATTATACCAACATCAAATACAGTGAAAACAGGGGTTATACTGTTGGGGAGGGAAATACTCTCTTCAGAGTTAACTCCTGCTGGGTAACTGTCTTAAGTGCATTCTGATGTGGCTGTTTTGTTCAGCAGATTTCCACACTTTTGGGGTATGTTTTATCCAAGTTGTTTCAAAGTTGAGACTTCAAGATTGCTTCTAGGAACATTCTGTTTAACTATGGAAATTCATTTGATCTTTTTAACCTCCCTTTTCTAACTAATTTTGTTCACATCTGCAAGCACTAACACCCTGACTACTTTCCAGGCCCTCTTAGCGTGGCTTATAGAAAAATAAAAATTAATCAATTTGTGGAACCAGGTATAAGCACTTCATCAGGTTCAAATTTCAGAGTCATGCGCAAAGGTGAATCACCTTTTTATACCTTTTTATAGACCTTCTAGTGGAAGAGAACTTAATGCATAGTTGTGTTAGAAGTAAGGACTTACTACATTTGAATTGGTGGTGACTATATATTGTTTTCTGTACTGGGTTTTTAAGGTTTTATTATTCCTCTCCCTGATGTATTAATGGACCATGCCACAGGCTCTGAGCCACATTGCTCTGAGCTTAGGATTGGACTTAGCTATTTTTTTTGCTGGTTGACCTTGGTCAGATTGCTTTCTTTCCATGTACTGTCCTTTTCTTATTTGTGAAAGTGGGCAAATAACAGTATCTACCTTACAAAGTGCTTATGAGCATTCCATGAGGTAATACAGACAGAGTACTTTTGAAAGTACCCAATATGTAGTAAATGCTATGATAGTATTTATTCCATTAATGAATTTGTATCAGAGCATACTATGTAGTATTGGTAATTTTGCCATGAGGAGAATCTTTGTTATTTGCCAATCATCCTATCATTGTAAACATACCTTGAATGCTGAGTTTCCATTGAAGCAAGAAATTACCTTACAGTTATTTTCAAATCTTCTTTTGTTCCCTGCTTATTGAGTAGCTTTGATGATCTTTTGTTTACCTTTACAGATTGAACAATAATTGTTGAAGTTCTTTTTTTTACATGAAATTATTGGTGTTTATAATTTTAATAAAGAAAATAAGCCCCCAGATTGAATTTACATTGTACAATTCTTTTTAAATTCAAGAATGATGTCAGCCCAACCACTGTATTATATATGGCTTGTTAGTACATTTAAAACTCTCTTATTAATTATGGTGCTTAATCTTTACAGACAATATTTGCAAATGGCTTTTCTCTATTTCTTTTTCTTATCTTCTATTGTGTGCTAAGCAACATACCAACTTATAATCCGGACTGCTTCTAAAAATATAATAATGTGCTAGCTGCATAATCTGGAGGCTTCTTTGAATTGCTTAAATAGAACAGGGTATTTTCATCAACTTGTACTTGTGTTTCCGAGACAGATGTTGGGATCAGGGAAACAACACTTGTAACAGACAGATCAATTATTTCAGGAACACGGAGGTGCTAGGCTTGAGATCATAAATCTCAAGAAAAATCCAAGCACTGGTGTAATATTTTTCACCTAAAATGGCACTCAAGGTCAAAGTTACCAATTAAATTTTAATACTGACTGAGCTTTAAAAAAATTCCTTCCATCTAAGTGTAAGATTTATTTCCATTTGTATGTGGCAAGTCTGTATGCCAGGGTGTGTGTGCTTTTCACTGAGTGTATGTTTTTAGACTTCTGCAAAAAGATATCTTATAGTTGTGTATCTCTGCATCCCGTATTGAAGTCCTCAGTCACTAGCATTCAGAACATTTAGGTATATTGTTTGGTGTTGTGCTGCTTACAGATTAGATGGATAGATGAAAAATGTTTAGGTAATTCACTCCCTTTCTGAGCTGAAGATACATATGTGATCTGTGGTAACCTTGAATGGTAAATGAACAGATTATGGTTAAATTGATGAATTCTTTCTGAGAGCTCTGGATTCACTTGTGCTTTATCTCTTTGATTAAAAAAGATACCAGTGACTTACAACGGCTGAGTTCTTACTCACCAAGGAGTTGTCTTAACCATTTCTTAGCAAGAAGCATCTTTCAAGATATTCACTTCCTCTTTTGAGTAGATAAGATCGACATTTATCCATTTCCTGTATGTGTGTGTGTATGCGTGTGTGTATGCATGTGTGTGTATGCGTGTGTGTGTGTGTGTGTGTGTGTGTGTGTGTGTGTGTGTGTGGTGTGTGTTGAACCTGGGGCTTTGAACTTATGGCCTGGGTGCTGTACCTGAGGCCCTGAGTTTGTGTGCTCAAGGCTAGTGTTCTACCACTTGAGCCACATCACTACTTCTGGATTTGGGGTGATTAATTGGAACTAAGAATCTCATGGACTTTCTTGCCCAGGCTAGCTTTGAACTGTGGTTCTCAGATCTCAACCTCCTGAATTGCTGGGATTGCAAGTGTGAACCACTCATCACCAGTGCCCAGCTTTTTCTTTTTCTTTTTTCTTGGTCTTATATTAAGAAAGGACTTCAGATAACTTCTTTTTCTTTTTTTGTTTTTGTTTTGTTCTTTTGTGCTGGTACTGGGGTTTTGAAGTCAGAGTTTTCTCAAGGCAGCACTCTTTATCATTTCAGTCACATCTCCACTTTCAGGTTTTGTTTTTGTTTTTGTTTTTGTTTTTTGGGGGTTGGTCGTGGGGCCTGAACTCTGGGCCTGGGCGCTGTCCCTCAGCTTTTCAGCTCAAGGCTAGCGATCTACCACTTGAGCCACAGCGCCACTTCCGGCTTTTTTCTTTTTTCTTATGTGGTGCTGAGGAATGGAACCCAGGGCCCCATGCATGCAAGGCAAGCGCTCTACCACTGAGCCACCTTCCCAGCCCCCACTTCCAGGTTTTTACTGGTTAATTTGAGATAAAAATCTCAGGGACTGCTTGTTGGTGATCCTAA